CAGTACGGCACTGCGGAAAGGGGACGCTTTGTATGTTAGTTCTCGCGCCATATCCCAAAGGGACGCATGCGCTAAAATGATTACAATCAATCAATCAATCAATCAATCATAACGTTTATATTGTACAGCTCAAAAGGTGGCCACTGCAAAGGCAGCAAGGTCAGCGAGAAAATGGTTGAAAACGGATGAAGCAGAGTCTTGTAGAATAGAAGCAGCGTCACGCTGTGGAAAGGGGGGGTCTGTATGTTACCTCGCGCCATATCCCAAAGGGACGCATGCGCTTAAATGATTACAATCAATCAATCAATCAATCATAACGTTTATGTTCAACATCAAACCTCCTCATCCCCCCTACCGATCCAACGCATCCATCCGTTCCTCACCCCCAGACCCCCCAACCAATGGCCCTAGATGGTTTCTTCTGCTTTCCCCTCCCATACTGCTCCTCACGAATGTCACAACTACGCTCAACGTCACAATTCTCCAGCCTCGGCAAAACAACGGCGAACTAGGGCAGAGTTAGTCCCGCGCAACACATCCACCCTCTTATTATCCTACTGCCGCAGTTCCAGTACGAGTGAAACTATCAACAATCCGATCACTCGCTCAACAGATCATGGTCCGCCACTCAATGGCGGCACCAGTCTCGATTCAGCGACTTGACTTCACCTACGAAGTTGAATTCTGATTGACTATTCAGCGCCAAAAAGCTAGCAAGCGTTAGAAAACTATACCATTTGGTATTCTTCTCCTTCTTTGGCAGTAGACAGTTGACGAAAGCTGACACAGTGGTCTGATCTAGTTTCACGCCACTTGCGAGCTACCATTTCCAAGTTCCACAAAAGAAGGACTCGTTACACATTCCCAGATCGATCTATTCCACACAAACCAGCCAAAAATACTCATAGTACTGCCACAGCTGCGATATGGACCTTTGGGGATTGTTGGGAAGCGTACGGGGATAGGAATTACGAGAGTCCTGACGACAGCGGGTGGGATTTCGTCAATTGTATTGGGAGTGGAAGGATGGTTATGATGCATACCGAAGCTTGGTGGGCCTGATGGGTTGATAAAACTCGACATCGCGCAACACAGGATTGGTATGAGGCGTTTACAGGCGAAGAGTAACGGAGATGGTGGTTTTCAAGTTTTGGAATGTAGTGTATGAAGTGAGGAGACTTAATATATGTGGTAACAGCCTTTGCGGTGAGTAGGAGCAGAAATTTGGACCAACTTCCGCGGTACCGCTGGAGATTTAACTGCAGCCGTGAACTCAATGTTTGATATAATATTTACGCCCATGATGCTATAGTTTTTCCAAAGCAATGGAAGGTGAATAAGGGTTGTGTTTCAATGTACTTGTAGACCTCGGTATCATGATTGCGGTGTCTGGTGCGTGTAGCATCACAATTTATCACTTGCGTTCACACTGCTCTGCCCGCCCAACCACATCCCCCTCTCGTGCATCCACTCCTGCTCCTCCATAGTCTCCCATACCCCGCCATTGCTCTACAATCATCATCATCGTCGTTGCAAATCTGGCTTTTTTTGCTCTATCATGTTCTCTCGCTCAACTACAAATCCCTCTGCAACCGCAATTCCGCAATCTTCCACAGTTCGACGGCGGGACAGCATTATCAGCGGCCCTGACACCAGCAAAAGAAGCCACGGTTCTCCGGAAATGTCAAGGCACGCTTTGGCCGCAGCTCAACATGCGTTCGTTTCAGGACAGCACAAACCTACTCGAGATCCCCAGTTGAAGCAGCAGACTCCTGTTTCCAATTCTTGTCGCTCAGGTCTCAGCGAGATAGATCCAAATCAAGTCCGGCCAGCATATACACGCCCCCCAAACCTCCGCTTCTCCCGCCATGGAGCCCCGCCAGAATCCGTGAGCAGTCTGGACTACGGTGCTGAGTCTCTGTACTCCGAGATAACACCACCGAAGAGTGCCCTTAGTCGATTTTATCCCGATTACTACAACACTTACGATGATGACAACGGGACGGTTATTCACCGACAAAGTCCTCTTCCACAAGGGAGCGGGAGTTACCCAGCGAGAATGTTCCGAGAACCTTCAACTTCCACCTTAAACACTGCGTTACGGAGTATGGTAGCGGAATCATTTGATGATCGGACGCCTACTGGGACCCCTGAGCCGATATCTTCAACACCTTCATCGTTCAAACGGCTGGGGAGGTCAAAGTCAATGATGGGTATGATCACTTCTAGCAGACTCATGGATTTTTGCACTGACTGAGGGGTAATAGGACGAACGAGTATGCGGCCTGCTGCTACTGATGCACAGCGTCTCGAAAATCGCAAATCAATGTCGTTTCTTCGGGGTGGAACCGACTTTATGCCTCAATCCATGAAACAACACTGCATAGAAAATAAACCCCGAGAACGAATGTCTTTTTACACGCCGTCGTCTGCGAGGCCAATGCCAGAGCCGAGTCTCTTTCAGGACCCAACCATCGGATATCGGGGCCGGAACGACAAGGGAGACTGGGGTGCACTTCGTTGGGCTATGAAGCGCAAGGCTCGTCGAATCACCCAGGTTTTCGGATCCGTCAAAGGCATTTTTGGAAAGAAAAAGAGTTACCGGGGGACTGAGATGATTGCCAACATTCCCGAGCAGCACATCATTAGCAGCCGGCCTCATTTTGGGGAATACGTTCCAAGCATCTCGGAAGATGATGGGATAGAACATGAACGTCCAATTACTCTTCAAAAAATTCCAATGGAATCGAGAGAAAAACCAAAGATCAGGTCTAGCTATGTCGTTACCAGGAAGCCAGTATGCTCTCTCCACAATTATTGAACTTGAAGATTGAAGCTGATCTAAACCAGGCCTTACACATCGTCCCATCATGTGAACAAATACCATCTGATGTTAGCAGCATCAATGAAGCCCACACAACACCGGAAAGAAATACGCGGGAAACAGTTTCGCTCAGTCAGCGTTATGATACCGGCTCAACATGGTCGTCGAACTGGAATTCAACGGTCACTACTCAACGGCCTGATCTCAGTGATTTGAATGGTAAGGATGAAGTGTTTGATCGGGATACATCCACTCCGGCTCCCGGAAAGGGCTTCCAGCCTTTATGTCTTCCTCCCCGGCCTCAGCGGCGTGATCGAATCAATGTTGATGTCAGACGCTTATACTCAGCCCTCGTAAAGAAGATGGATGACAGTCCTCCTCAACTCAAACCCGTTCCTGTACGGGAAAGTTTCGATGGAGAGGTTACGACAAGTGCGCTTAACTTGAATATCCATCCTGAGTTAGCGCGTGTTTTCGAGTCGCGACGCTCTGCACTCTCACCCAACGCTGGTCAACAACGCCCTCCGACACTGCGACGAACCAGCCGAGTCACCTTCACAACTTCACCCGACATTTCGCCTTCGCCGGTTGCGGAGGTTCCGAAGATATGGAGTAATTCGAATGCTCATGCCGATATGGAACCAGGATCATCGGATGAATGCCCTGCCTCTGTTGGTTCGGGATCGACCGACTCAGCAGCAAAAAGGGAAGCTCAACATGATGAGGCTATCCACGCGATGACCACCGGTCATGCACTCTTCAGATCTGCAAGCAGGAGGAAACGGGAAGTATCATTTGCTGAACCTTCCACCTCACACCAGACGGCTACATGCGGGGTCGACAATAAGCCACATCAGGACACTTGTTCACCGGAAACGCACTTGGACGATGATATCGAAGAACCATCTCCTCTCACGCAGTGGAATCTTCAAATGTTAAAGCACCAGGCCGAATATCAGAACATGAGCCCGGAGATTCAAGCTTGGCAGACACATCATCCAGAGTTTTCCTTTCCTGGTGACTCTAACAAAGAGAATATGCCTCCAAGCCCTCCACCAGTTCCATATCATTCGGAATCATTTTTGCCATCGAGAGATACTGAGCTTCACCGGCCTCGTTCCGCAGCAGCGTATCGCCACATGAATACCAGCACACCGGTTCGACGTACTGCTACTGCGATGGGGCATACTC